ATTAACATCACGCTTAACGAGAGTAAGTGCGTATTTGGGACATCAGAAGTTGTGTATATTGGACACAAGCTAACTGCACAAAGGGTAAAACCAGATGAATCGAAAGTGGAAGCCATCAACAAAATGCCTGCACCTACCTGTAAGAAGGAGGCAGAAAGAGTATTAGGAATGGTTAATTACTTTGCGAAATTTATCCCAAATATGTCTACTATCACTGAGCCGATTAGAAGTGTGATGAAGAATGACGTGCAGTTTGAGTGGGGCAGACGACAAGAAGAATCATTTCAGAAGATAAAAGAAATCCTCACTGCAGCGCTAGTCTTAGCCTACTATGATGTACAGAAACCAGTGATGATAACATGTGATGCATCTCAATCAGGCATTGGAGCGTTGCTATTACAAGACGGAAAGCCCATAGCATATGCGTCGAGAGCCTTGACGGAAGCAGAGAAACGATACGCTCAAATTGAGAAGGAGCTTGTATAAATCAGTCAAATTCTATATCTGGCTTCACACGCAACGCTTAATAAACTTATTATACTGTCACTGATTAAAGTGTTCTCGCTCTACAAACCGCGTCTTACACTTCAGCAATTGTCTATAATACTTGGACTCTAGTAAATGTATTCTTTGAATTGGACGGTTAATGACTCCTTTCTTTGTGCGAACGGACACTGTTCGGATTAAGCCATCTCTCCCAGAAAAAGTGTTTTCTACTTTGCCAAGCTGCCACTTGCCTCGTGGAAGGTTATCATCGGAAACCAAAACCGTATCCTTTGGTTTTAATGGTGCCATTTTCTGAAGCCATTTTTGACGCATGGTTAGCCTCAGTAGATATTCCTTTTGCCAGCGCGACCAAAAATGTTGTTGAAGCCGTTGTTGATAACGATACCGATCACTAAGAGATATCATGGAACTCTTCCCAGGTGATCTGGAACTTCACCTAATTGTCGATTGAGTGCCAGTAATGCGGGGGTCATGATGACTCCGTCCTGAATATCATCTCCAATATATGTCAAGGGTCGAGAATTTATTATCGCTTCAATGTTTGTTAATGTAGTCAACATTTCCGTATAAAATAATAAAGACTTTCCGAGAACTTTTCTCAATGACTCCTTTAACTGTCAACACACCCGTTCCCAGTGTCTCCCACGATGACTTGCTCTCTCTATTATAAATTTCCAAACCACGCCGTTGTTTTCCAATCGATCTTGCACAACTTTAGGATCAATTTGCATTAACTTCAATTTCTGTTTTGAAGCGCTGAATACCCGAGCTGCCTTGTGAAAGGTGGTTTGGTTGTCAGAACGTATGGTACATGGCATTCCCCTTCGATTTGCCATGCGACGAAAGGCTTGCAGAAATTCTTCAGTAGTCATATTGTTCGTTAGCTCGAAGTGGACTGCTCTGGAATCCTCGCACGCAAAGATACAAACATAAGCCTTGGTGGTCTCCCGTTTCCCCTTTGCTTGCAATTTATGTTTAAGATATAATGGACCCATGAAGTCAAGTCCAACGTTGGTAAAGGCGGGAACCATTTGTACTCGTTCAACCGGTAGAGGAGCCATCTTTTGCTGTTGGGGCTTAGTTTTCCAGTGCTTGCAGGTTAGACACTTATTCAGTATTCTCTTGATTTCTCTCCGACCTCCAGTGACCACTTCATTATCCAAGCAGTGATTCGGATCAGACGTTTCCAGCTTTCATATTTGGCTGCTATTTCGGGATAACTTGCAATTTCTTGAATCCTAACATTACAGGTAATAGCGTTAGCTTTTGTTTTCGCTTCGGAGAAACATTCGTTTGGATTTCATCAGACGAGCTCTTTTGAGGCCAATTTATCGTATCTTGCTGAAGCCACGAAGGACCGTGCCACCAAAGTTCATTTGTTAACAAGTCCTGTATAGATATACCTCTGGAGACGAGATCGGCTGGATTTTCATTTCCCGTACAGTAATGCCATCTCTCTGGCTCGACTCTCTGCTGTATATCTTGGACTCGATTGGCCACAAAGACTTTCCAATTATTACTTGATTTTCGAATCCAACTCAAGACCACCTGACTGTCGGACCAAGCGTACACTTCATGCACAGGTATTCTGAGAGCTTTGATGACGTAATCGATCAATTTTGCTGTGACATATGCTGCAAGAAGCTCTAAACGAGGAAGTGTGATTCTTTTGGTTGGCGAAACTCTCTATAGCCATGACAAGGTTAGACGACCGCTTTTTGTCTTGATCCTCCATGCACAAGTACAGCGCTGCGCCATAATCTTTAAGACTTGCATCTCCAAACCCGTGGAGTTCAATTTTCTTAACGTCGTTTTCTTTAGGTAATAGACATCTCGGAATTTCACATTTTCTAGCTCACTTAACTCATGTTTCCAATCATTCCATTCTTTTGCAATGTCATCGTCCAATGGATCATCCCAATCTTTACCTCGCGCCCATAACTCTTGAAATAATAACTTCGGCCGCATGAGGAATGGTGACACAAATCCCATTGATCAAACAATCTTGCATACAGGCTAATTAGACTTCGTTTGGTCATTGGATCCGGTTCATTCGCAATGGCTGATCCAGCTTGGTAGAAAACCATCTTTTACAGTGTTCCATGAAATTCCTAATGCTTTTAATAGATCTGATAATTTCTCGGAATAGGTATTAGGGGTGATAAGGAAATTTGGTGCTATCTTCTGAGGAAACGCTCCATCACTGTTTTTGAATTTGATGCCCACTTCGTAAGATGAAATCCTCCTGAGTGCATTAACTTCGACAACTCTCCTGTAATTGAATTGTACTTTGATCATCGTGGGACCCCGAAAGTAGATCATCCACATACATATTCTCCAAAATTTCTTTGGTAGCCTTCGGGTAAATATCTTCATTAATTTTAGCATGCTGAACTGTACCGATGGAGAGGAATGGGGAAGAGGTATTTCCAAAAGTCACTCGGGTCATACAGTACGTCTTTGGAACATCGTTGATACTAAGATCACGCCATAAAAACCGATGACTGTTTTGATCCTTCCTCATCAGGCAAATTTGGAGAAACATCTTCCTAATATCTGCCATTAGAGCTATTCTGTGACATCGAAACCGTAGCAGAACTTGCACCAGATCTGGCTGGAGTTTCGGGCCTTTCAATAGACAAGTTTAAGGAAACACCGTCAGGGGTTTTGCTACTTGCATCAAATACTATTCTACATTTCGTTGTGGATTTATCTTCGCGGAACACTGCGTGATGAGAAGATATCGGACTCTTCCTGATTTGTTTTCATCATCTTGCGTAACCTCTCGCGTGACCATCTGCGATATACTGATTCGTAGCATCACGGTACGATTTAGCTTTCTCTGGACTTCTTTTAAGTTTTCTCAATTGAATAAGTCGCTGCAACGCTTGGTGATAATTGTTCACGAGGGGAGGGGTATTCTTCTTCCAAGGTAGGCCGACTTGTATCGCTCTCCATCAAACGTGATATTCTTCTCAAATTGTTCCATGGCAAATGCTTCTTCTTCAGTGTACTGCGAATTTCTTGGTTCATCAACAACACCGACTGCGTCAAGTTCCCAAAAACGCTTTAGTAAACACTGAGGATCTTCTACTTTGGCTATGCTTAGCATGCTCACCGTCTGGCTAGTTTTGGAATTTTTCCCAGGAACTGGACCACTTAGAAGCCATCCCAACTTAGAGCACGTTGCGACTGGGAAACCTTTAGCACCTCGCTTGACCGAATCTTGTACCAAGTTGTGATATTGATCAATTCCTACGAGTAGGTCGACGGTTGCAGCTTTACAAGGAAAATGATCTGCAAGTTCCAAATTCTTTAAATAACTGCATTTCTTCACGTCAAACTTGACTTCCTCTAACGGTACACAAACATTGTTTACTGTCCACGCTTCCATATCTATTGAATGCTCAGCACCATACGAATTTAGTGACACAAGCTTAAATGACACCCGATGTACTTTCTTTCGTTAATTCTCCGCCCAGCTATTGATCTTCATTGTAGTTGACCGATTATCTTTCTTCATTCCAAGATTATCGCTGATGCTTGAACACAGAAATGTTTCTTCTGACCCAGTCTAATAGAACGTGTACCAACACATTCGATTCCGTTATAAATAAGTTGAGCACAAGCTGTGGGAAGTAAATTCTGCTGACCTCGTCTCCAGAGGTATATCTATACAGGACTTGTTAACAAATGAATTTTGGTGGCACGGTCCTTCGTGGCTTCAGCAAGATACGATAAATTGGCCTCAAAAGAGCTCGTCTGATGAAATTCCAAACAAGCTCTTTTGAGGCCAATTTATCGTATCTTGCTGAAGCCACGAAGGACCGTGCCACCAAAGTTCATTTGTTAACAAGTCCTGTATAGATATACATTTCTAGATATACATATTGGCAGTCTCATTCGGATTCGAAAAGTTTAACCAGTATACATATGCACGACATGTGGAAGTCAAATCGGATCATAAACCGTTGGAGTCGATAGTCAAGAAACCTCTCTCTATGGCACCACCTCGGCTACAACGAATGTTATTGCGTTTACAGCGATATGATTTCGATATAAAGTACAAGCCTGGAAAAGAGATGATTCTGGCAGACACTCTCTCAAGAGCATACATTACGGATTCAGAGAATGGTGGAAACATGGAAGAGGAAGTTGAACACCATGTTAACTCGGTTTTGCACAGATTACCAGTCTCAACAGACAAACTAAGCAACATCCAAGAGAAACATCAAAGGATCCGACGATGAAAATGCTGTTGAAGGTGATTCATGAGGGATGGCCACAGTATAGACAACACACCCCAGTTGAAATCCACAACTATTCGAATTATCGAATGAGATGTCAGAGATCGATGGTGTTATTATGAAAGGAGATAGGATTGTCATACACCTACAGCACTACAAAGTGAAATGCTAACACGAGTACATGAGAGTGACATGGGAATTGAAAAATGTTGACACAGAGCAAGGGATGTAATTTTCTGGCTAAGAATGAATGAACAGATTAGTGACTTGATATCTAAATGTGATATCTGTCAGGAATATCAGTCATCAAACCCGAAAGAGCCAATGATGGAATCGCCATTACCAAGAAGACCTTGGGAGATGGTAGCCACGGATCTTTTTCAATGGGAGCAGAAAGATTATTTGGTTGTAGTTGACATTATTCTCGGTATGTGGAAATTTCAAAGGTGGACGACACAAAAGTCGAACGATTGTTAATCATACCAAGTGAATTTTTGCAAGGCATGGTATACCTTCCATGGTGATAATGGGCCACAATACGTAGCTCAAGAATATAAACAATTTGCAAAAGAATGGAAATTCGAGCATCAGACGTCCAGTCCTTACTACCCCAAGTCTAATGGTTTGGCAGAGAAAGCTGTTCAGACTGTGAAAACATTACTGTCAAAAGCCAAAGCCGACGGCAAAGATCCTTACCTGAGTCTTCTGGAGTATCGCAACACACCAATAGAAGATGTGGGTTCCCCATCACAAATGTTGATGAGCCACCGACTTCAGTCCATTTTACCGACAACTACAAAGCAGTTACAACCGCAGATTGTCGATGCTAAACTAGTTGAAATGAAATTAAAGAAGAAGCAAGAGAACCAGAAGAAGTATTATGATATTGGATCTCGAGTACTCTCACCTGTGAATGAAGGAGAAAGAGTTCGCGTGATCGATGGAAAGAAGCCATGGTGGAAGAAAAGTTGTCATCTCCAAGATCATACAAAATCAGGACTTCAACTGGTCAAGTCATTAGAAGAAATCGTGTGCATATCAAAAAACGAAATAACCTACTGGAAGAAAATGTGATTGAAGATGAACTAGTTCCTTTGGAAGTAGTGAAGCCAAATGAAGCCAGTGAGATATATACCCAGGAGTATAGAACTAGAAGTGGATGCGTGTGAGTAAACCACCAGAACGATTGCAGTTGGGAATTGTCTTTCTTTCTAACGAGGATGACCGGCGAACTCCAGGGACTAGTGGAGTCCTCGACTATCTCTTGTTTTTCCATGTCTTCAATGATTTTGGAAACTTCTTCTCGCCTAGCAATCGGAATTCTTCTTGGAGGTTGCTTCATAGGCGTGGCATCCCCAGGAACAATGTCCTGTTTCAAACCACTCGCACGCCCAACATCAGCAGGTCCCTTAGAAAACACGTCTTGATAACGTTTTAGCAGGTTCGCTACCTTTTCTTTCTCTTGCTTGCTCAGATTCTCTATACTGCTCTAAATAAGGATTTTAAATGATCTGGAACAGTGTCTTCCCGGGATAATTCCTCCTCCACTTCATAAACTTGATCCGTGGGAGTTATGCTTACTGCAGGTTCACAAATGGCAATCTCAGTGCCTTTCCTTAACTTTTTTCTACTAGGCGATAAATTCCCAACTCTCACAGGAATGTAATCCTTTTCTAGGTCGACAACGGTCCGTCCCACGATAATGTCACCATTTCTTTGTGCCAAACTTGGTGGCCCAGTTGTTCCCCATCGAACATCTCCTTAAACATCTTAATTCACCCGTGCCAACTTGTACCGGAATTCCCAATATGGAGTGTTTGTCGAGGGTAGTCTATCACACAACCTTCCTTCCTCAAAAAATCTGAACCAAGAATACACTCTTCTTGAATATTGGCAACCCATACATCCAACGAAGAAACAGTTTCTCCTAACTTGATTTCCAGGATGGCTCTTCCAATAGCTGGGATTATCTGTTCGTTCAATCCTCTTATAACTCCATCAGTGTTTACTTCCACTATGTGTTCTGCCGAAGACAATGCATTGAATATACGAGAACTCAGTTTTGTGACGTCAGCACCAGTGTCCACCACAAACTGACAAGGCACATCCTCAATAAACCGAGACACTTTCAATGTTCCACCACATACTTTTACTCCCATTGGGGTCTTTTGATTCCCTTTTGTGGCCGAGCTTAGACCCTCTGACCCGACCACTCCTCGTTTCCCGACGGTGGTTTCTTGAACTCCCTTTGATCGAGTGTTTTCTCCTGACTCTCTTCTTTCTTTCCACCAATCTTTTCCCTTGTTTTGTTCTTGCAATCTCTTGAAAAATGACCAATTTCTCCACAGGGCCAACATTTCCATTCAGTTGTTGTTCCGTCGTTTATATTTCCAGGCAGTCTACGATAACATTGACGTTTCGATTGTTCTCTGATTTCCTTCATTAATTCATTAATTGCTCCTTCCAGCTTCTGGAATTTTCCATCTTCATCTTCTTGTTTCACACAAGGGTTTCCTGGTGAGCTTGTACTTTCTCCTTTGACCAATATAGTAATATAGTTCTAACGCAATTTCTAGTGCCTTTTGAAGGGACTGGGGCTGAGCCTGGCGAATGCGTAAACGTAGATCTTCTTCAATAAGTGCATCAATAAAATGTTCCCTTGCTAGAATATCCTGTAATTCCTGTGTAGCATCTGGATAAGCCTGGATAAATCTGGTCAAACTTTCGATGCCTTCGACCAATTCTGGCAGTGTCTCATCTTTTCTCTTTACGCGATTTTTCAGTTTCGCCCTCGCTAACTCTGATTGATGGGTGACACCGAATCTGCTCGTTAATGCTGCGATTAATATCTTATAGTCCCTGCGATCTTGTTCGGACAAGTTACTTAACACTAGCGTAGCGTTACGCACTAAAGAAGTAGCCAGGAAAGCAGCCTTTTCTTCGTTGCTCCAACCGTTCATTCGAGCAGCTATATCGAATTGGGCCAAAAATGCACAAACGTGACATTCTTCATCACGCGTAATTGAATACCGCAGGGTCGACTGAGCCTTTTGTTCGCCACGTTCCACTGCCCTTGTGCAAATTTCGAGCTTCACGTTTAGCTTCCATGTCCTGCAGACGCTGGTCTATTCCTTCAACAGCCCCCAGTAAACTTTTGAAATTCTGTGAAAAAGTTCTACATATTCTCTGCAAACGTCCGATTTATACCCCTCCGAACTGCCTTGGTCATGTCCTGTGCCATAACATTATACTTTCTTATCAATTATCTGTTGTTTTGCTGAAGCGCACCAACACGGGTTTGCAATCAACAACTTTTAGTTGTTCCTCATTTCGCTCCGATTCGATCAAGTTTATTCGCTGCACTAATTCTTGATTCACTCTCATCATGTTCTCAATCGTTTCTTGAGTTGCTTTCCGTTCCATTTTTATTTCCTTCAAAACATGCTTCACTTCTTGCAACGTATCGATAATTACCATACTCCCGTTTTCGGCCATGTCTACTACCGTTTGATCTTGTGGCTCTACTATATTTTCTCTACGACGACTACGAGTTCCCATTACTAAATTCTGTTCTTTCTCACTCTATCGTGAAACCATTTCCTGCTACCAAACGTCACAAAATGTCACAACCCACGGCCAAAAAACAAGCTCGTACATCAAGCAAAGATCTCATACACCAATTAACCAACAAGCACGCCTTTTTATATCGCGCTCGATTAATTACACACTATTTACATATTTACAAAAGCGTGACTAATGCGCAATGTGTCACAATTAGGATACTTTATAAATAATTTAGTTGAATAGAATGACTTAAATGAACATTTAGTTAATTATATTGTATATTGTGTACTGTGTATTTGAATATTAGAAAGAACATTTATTTATTTGTTTAATTAGTATTAAGGAGAGAAAACAAAAAAAAAGGGAGTTGTAATATATTGTAATATATGTTAATGTATGTATTCATCTTAATGTATAAGTGATTAAAACATTAAGAAGTGTCCTCACTTCAACTAGCAGCACACGTTACATGTCTGATAATATTACACCCCCCCCCTAATAAAAAGTCCTACAACATTAATACACAAGTGGAAGTCTGAAAACTTGTATTTTTAATATCATAACCAGTTTTACAACATTAAACTGAGTGAATTTTAACAAGCTAGCATTATTAACCAAAACATTAACTAACTTTTAACAAACCAACATTATCAAGCAAACATGACTGAATTTGAACAATGTTAAAACCATATTATAGAAACAGGGAGTAGGTGCATAGACAAGCACATGGCAGTTCCACATAAAGTTCAACCAATGAATTACATAAAATACCAAATCTCTCTATTTACTCTATATAATGTAATTTACTTAAAGCTTATCTTTTTTGCAAAAAAGATATATCGTTAACCCCATTGTTTTTATCGATTGTAAGGTTCAGATTTTCCGATAGCAAAATTATTTCACTTAACCTTTCTTCGTTGATTTTATCCAGTGATCCTTCGTGCCATTTTTCTGGTTGAAGTTTTCAACGATGGTTACAAGGGTAACTACCACGTAACTTCCCCGTTTTTCTTTACGGAAATTCTTGCAGTCAGTTTCTTTATGCTATTCTTCAGTAGAAAAGAGGACTGGCAATGACTACACTTCAGTATCACCGAACCTTGTCGAAACGTAACCTTTTTGCTGCATGTAATGCAAGAGTAATACAAGATTGCCTCCATGCTTGTGACGGAAACACAGCTTACCCGTTTCTTTTCAAACTGGCTTCTTGCCTCCTTAATTGCTTCCTCATTAATTTGTGGCTTCTCATCTGTGATTTTCTTGAAGCTTGTGGCGTTGGTTGACGACAAATACTTCTGACCAAGATATTGACATACACGAACATTAGTGATTCATTTTTGTTGGTCAATAAAGCATGCTTCGAGTTTAACCAAACCAGGTTTTGTAGGAACATCTTCTGGCTTGTTTTCCCCGAACACCACAAGACCACACACGGTCACACACTCGTACAATTTGATACCCTCAAGCTCTGTTGTATTCGTCATACCTGGCGTCGTTGAATTTTCACCAACTTTCTGACTAGTGTATGCAAAATCGATATCTGTCTCTGGGGCATCGTCAATTTGTGTGTAATGATTTACCCGCACGACGTTTTTTTTTCAGTTTTGTGCAATCTAAACTTTGTAATCTTACACAGAGTGCTGCTTTCGGCTTTCGATTTAACAATCATCTTGTGTTTTCTTGGAGAAAAGCAAAGTGCTTTCACTGCCTGATCTTTTTATTGTAACATGAATGAGAATTACTTGGAATTTTTGGAGCTCATTTTCGTTGGGCTAACATCGTGCATATAACCAATGAGCGTCAAAGGTGGGCCTGACTTACACTTGCTATCATGACATTTAAATGTGTAAATGACCTCGTGCCATCTTATCTGTGTGGAAAGTTGAATAAAAGACAACAAATAAGTGGTCGTATAACCAGACAATCAAATGACTTTCAGATACCTAAATGCAGAACTGCAACAGGGCAGAAGTCTTTTGAGTATCGCTCTGTATCTATTTGGAATTCGCTCAGCCCAGCTGCCAAACAGTTGTCCTCGATTGAACATTTTAAACATTATCTTAAGAAATATTTTCTTAATATATTCCTAAATAGTGCCTAGATTGTAATCTTTCCTGTTAACTATTGCATGTATAATTTATAGATTTAATTCTTTTTAGAAATCAATTGTAAATTAGTTATAAAAACATTTGTAAATTAGTTATGAAAAGCTCATTTTCGAGATAACTAATAAATATGTATGTATGTATGTATGTATGTACATGGTTCGTACAGGTTGAACTGTTGGAAAATAGATTATGGTCCGTGGTAGCAATTCGTGGTTGGGATGCAGAGTAAATTATTGTAGTTCATTGTTCTTCAACATCCAAGCAGCACAAGATTCAAATAGGTTACATACAGTACAGGTTCAACCAACGTTTTAAGGTATTAATTATTGTTCCATAGTGGTTTCGTTGTAGCCTGTGTAGCATGGCTGGACACTTTGGTCATATTATAATGACATATTGTGA